CAATATCTGGTAGCAATCTGATCACAATGTAGGGAAATTCTACACAGTATCCTTTCAAAATTTATAAGAGTGGCTCAAAAAATTAATAAATCACATGATGCAACAAAGCAAATAAAACCAAGCTGATCATGTTAAAATACTTTACAAGGACAAAACAGCACTATGCAAAAACAAATGACTGCAAATTTTAGTGACTCATTTGACTCTATAACATCTGTAGCAATGTTATAGAAGCAATTTCCTCACCTAGAATTCCTACAATCTAATTTTAGATGCAAACTTAAATAACAATTTGAATGGAGCATGGTATGTTTTACATTTTACTGATTTTAAGATGTAGTCATGATTGAAAAGAGGTTGTGGAGTTGTGCCTTGCACCAAGAACACGACACGGGAACCGTTCGACCAGCAGAATCCACACATTCAACTCAGTTTAAGTTTTTCAAAAATTGAGATTTAACATATGCATCATGTGACTTATAGTAAAGCCTGGAAGAAATATTTTAGAACTGAAAGGAAATGGACTGTGTGCTGGAAATAGCACTTCATAAAGTCTAATTTGGCTGTAAACACATGTAAGTTATTTATAAAGCTGCATGATCCACTCCTATATTAGATATTAAGGGTGCGCAAAATAATCGTCATGACGATGCATCGTGATTCTAATTTTTGTGATCTACTGCATCGATTCTTGACGGCAAGTATCGATTCTTAATTTAAAAAAATGAACAAATAAAATACATGAATGGTTGGCGCACATCAGCCTAACCAAGTGGAATACAACTTCAGTCCAGCAGATGTCGCTGTGGATGTGTTAACGCCCGCTGCTTTGTGTCACAAGCATGTACGGTCGCGAGATACTGCGACGAGTCATATGAAATAAAACATGGAGGACACTATGAATATTTGCCCCGCGCCTCCATCACATTTCAAGTCAGATGCTTGGATGCATTTTGACTTTAAAAACAAAGAAGGTAAAAATGAAATTGATATGATGCACGTCATTTGCAAAAGGGGAAATATACATTTGAATGTTTTCATTTCATTGGTTTAAAGGACCACTGAGGCCATGTAAACGGCACTGATTATCCTTATTTTGTTATTTTAAGTTTGATGAATCCTAAGATCTTTTTGTCAGTGTGTCCACACCATTAATAGTAATATTTCTGTCAAGTATTTGTTTTCATGGCAACATCTCCAAAAGTCATTTCAATAAATACAGCTACAGTATGTATGAATTCAGTTGCTTTCAGTTAGGTATCAATTGAAGACACTATCCAGATCACACCCAGCCAGTCAGCCACTGGTAAGGGCTGTATCTTTTTCTTACAGTGTTCAGTGAAAATATCGCAACGCATCGCAACATGTCAAGTATCGTGATGCATCGTGATAGAATCGAATCATGGCATGTGAATCGTGATTCGAATCGAATCGTGACTTCTTTGCCAATTACCCACCCCTATTAGATATATTGAAAGGGTCTAAAGACTTTAAATAAAAAAAACCAAAACAAATACGCTTATATCAGCAGCCTTAGGATGAACGTCATTAAAAAATTGCCCTAAATGCTCAGTAAATGGGTTTCCAAGTCTAGCTCAAACAGATGTCTCTTAATTACAGCAGCTTTGAGTCATGAGCAGTCTGCTCATTAATGGTCCAGTTTGAGCTTTCTATTAATAACACTACAATTAACCACTGAAATGACCTGACATAAAGCTATATCCATTTTGAGGAACAAGAGACATTTAAATTCTGTATATGGGTGTAAATAACATTTATTAACAAGTTCTGCTTTGAAAATACTGCTTTAAATTGTAGTTATTTGAACTACAGCAGGGGTCTTTAACATTTTCCAGCCCAAGAACCCCCAAACTGATAGAGAGATTAAATGGGGACCCCCTTAATTTATATATTGTATGAAATTGCTTTATATCAAACTGATTCTATAGTCACTCTATTACAAATGGTGTAATGTAACTAAAGTGATTTCACTCTGGGATTATTAATGCATTTCTGATTCTTATTCCTCATTGATGGTACAGGTGTTGTGCATAAAACGGTGCCCAGCTTGAAAGAGCTCCTGTGTGTCGCTGAATGTGTGCATTGATGACTGAAAGACATCTTCTGTCTCCATTTATCTGTTTACTACAGTGTGTTGAATTCATGTTAATGTGGATTTAAAGACATTTCAATTAGTCGAAAAAATTGCAGGGGGGAATATAAAAGAAAAGTAATCAACCAAAACGCGACCCCCATGCAGTACCTCTGTGGACCCCCTGTTGAAGACCTCTTAACTAAAAGAATATGAAGGTTTTAACTGAACAGAGTAAATCCATTTCCCCGTAGTTTTACTTTTCAGTTCATTCAGGACCAATTAAAGCTTTTTAATTTGAAAACATAATGAAGGGCAAGTTACGGCTTGATTATTTTTGAAGTGGTTGCACTTCATTCACACCAGTCAAAGAGAGAGAGAGAAGTATTTTGATTTGTGTGGAGATAAGTAAATTCTAACCACAAACATTTCCTGTGCATATTGTCAAGTAAATCTCACAACAAAGAGTTGAAAACAGAAATAAACAAGCAATATTTTATAATCACAACACAATTTCCAGAACCTTTTACTTTGTAGGAAAAACAATTTGTAGTCTAGGAGTTATTTTCATGCAAGCATTTATACTTAAAGAGAATACATTTTGCTGGTTATTAACGTCACAAGCTAGTAAGGGATAAATACAATGATCTATGTGTATATTAAAGACTAGAAAACAAAGAAATAGGAAAATGTTACCTAGCCATTTATTTGAATTTATTATCAAATACTAAGTATAGGCCAATAACTATCATGGACAACCCAAATAAGGTTTCTGATTTGAAAGGACATTTAGGTCTTAGTTTGAACCAGAGAGGTTTACTATGATCGATAATAGTATAGTAGAATGCCTTCACTTATGGAGATTCAGTAATTTACACTCGATCTTTATGTGCAGCAGAATATCAATGCTTTTATCAACATTATTTTAAACATAATGAGAAGGAGAGAGAAAGCACAAAAGAAAAAAATGCATTCTGTCATTCAAATTTTTCGGTTGAACACCTCACTCCAAAAAGGATGTGTACTCTGACAATTCCAACTGGGACTGCAAAAGACTTGAAACTTAGACCACAATAGAAACGATAGTTCTTTTTCCACGCTCTTTATGAATAAATTGAGCACAGACTTATGTATAACAATACTTGCAATGAGTTATGAATTGATCCTCTGGGACAGCAGTAATCCATGGCTTTAGCTCTCTGGATAATTTTTTTTTGTCTTTTCTGCTTCAGCATGATGCTGCCTCTAAGCATCAAGTGAAAAGCTTAAAAGAAAGGCTTAATCTCACTGCATCTTAGATACTCTAAATAGCATTTGGGGAAAAGTTTGACTTGATTAAATCAACACTTTAATTTTTGATCCAGTTATTAGTTTCAATTAAAATATATTAAAATAAATAATAGCATATATTATATAATAATAGCAAATAACAGCACTTGACGTGCAGCGATGCTTTGTGTGGGGTGCCCTCCTTCAAACCTGGCCTGTGTAAAGAGGGTCCATCCATTGCAAAGTCGGTCATGTGACCTAGAACATCGCTTTATGGTAGTGTGAGCTCCCCTTAAACACTGGAGCTAAGAAGTTGTTCTAATGGACTCGGAACTGATCCCTCAGAGACACATAAATCCTTCAATTTGCTAAAGAACATTTCTAGAATTAATAGAACAATGTTTCAGCAGGACTTTGAAAAACTACTTTATGTGTTCATCTTTAGAAGAACTGATTATTGCAACGTTGTCCTCTCAGTTCTGCCTAAAAGGTCAATCAGATAGCTGCAGCAGATCAAGAATGCTGCTGCTTTCATCCTCAGCAAAACAAAGAAATTGGAGCACATCTCTCCAGTACTAAAATCATTATATTGGTTTGCTTTCTCTCAAAGAATAGACTTTTAAAGAAGACTGTTTATAAATCACTGAATGGCTTAAGGCAAGAAAAAACAGAATCTGATTTTGCATCAGACCTGACAGAAAATCTTGTCGGACGAGGTCATGGTATTTTTTACGGCCCTAGTGGTTCATTTTTTTTGGACAGTAGGCTGACAGGGAAGGTCGCATGAGAGAGGGGGAGAGACATGCGGCAAAGGACCCCAGGTCGGATTCAAACCAAGTTCGGCCACGACTGACACATGTAAAATTAACAAATGAGTTACTGAAGCTTTTAGCAGAAGCAGAGCATTTCTATCAGCATGATATACCCCAAATTTTTGATCACAGCAGATAAAATCTGATATTAGTTTTTTTAGCAAATATCGGACAGATATCCAACTAATAACGGAATTGGGACTCTCTATCACTTATGCTCCATAAATCTGGAATACACTCCCAGGAAGCTGTAAAAGTGTTGAAACCCTCAGCTGCTTTATATTAAGAATAAAAACGCATCTGTTTAAAGTGGCCATTGACAGAGCAATCTAAACCTTTTAAGTTGTTTATGAAAACATAAGGTTACCAAACATTAACATTGTTGAAACCTCCTTCCTAGAACATGGACTTCAAAGCTACTGAAAATATGTTGACTGTGCTTTAATACTAAATCTAAGAGAGAGCAAATCTAAATAAGCCTTACTGCTTCTGCCAAGGAAAGTAGTCAAACATCCAGCCAGCAAATATCCAGCAAGACTCTTGACAACTAAACACAGAATGTAAACTACACTGCACTGAACAATACAGTGGGCGTATATTTACATTTCAGCTGTGTAAACCATTGGCACAGTGAGAATTTGTACAGTTCTACAATAAATTGAAACTTGTGCAACCAGAGTGACCCAAAAATGGTTATTTAATCCTATTATTTCCGTTTTACATACTGCATAAGTATGATTGTTATGCATTTATTCATGCTGCTCAAAGCAGAGTCGTTTCACTGGTAATGAAATGGATGATTATAAGAGGGTCTGTGCAGTTCTGACCTGATGAGGTACAAGACCGAGAGAGGTTGGAGGTTCGTTCATTCTGTCGTCACTGCTGCTGGCCACAGCATAGCCCCTGAAAATGGAAATCAACATTAGAAAATCTATTTGGAGTCAAAAATCCAAACCTTTACTCAAACAGAACTGAAACATAATATTCTCTGAATGAAAGAAAATTTAAACCTTCTATGTGAGAAAATGATAAAGACAGATGAATCCTGAAGGGGATATTGCGATTACAAATCACAAAATGCCTAAACTATGAGTTTAATTCCTTGAAATCTCAAATGTTTGGGTTCTCTTGATAGATTTTTAATACATTACGAAAATAAAATAAATGGAAAAAGCATCAAACCCGTTGTGAGAAAGATTATCATTTGCTAATCTCATAGCTCACAGTTTCAGACACAGGTTTATGTCAAAAACCTGCTAAATAAATTTTATTTCTTTTTAAACCTGTAAGTAGCCCAACAGCTTTGCTTTTACAAGTAGACCCTTATGACTGTTGCCATAAGGTTATGCTTGGTACTTGTAGACGAAACTTTATTGAAAACGATTCAGAGAGAGAGAGAGAGAGAGAGAGAGAGAGAGAGAGAGAG